TATATATAATATTATATCGCAAGTATATCTCTGAAATCAAATTTGTGTTAGCTTCAAGCTAACACAATATAATAGCATTGATTTCAAATTCAGTATCTCAGAACAAATTGGGAATATCACTCACCACTCATAATATTATCTCGGATGATTTGTACATGACGGTCACGATCCGGTCGAGTATGCTCGTGCCAAAATCCAACGACGTGACCTAACTCGTGTACAACTATACCAAACTTATCGCAGTTTTTTCCAATGCTAATAGCTTGCGGTCCATTACCTCTTTTTCCGACAAAAGAACAACATCTATAGAGGAAATTTTACTATATGTATTAAACGTATAATATGTTATTAAACGTAACATGTCGATTATTCATATTTGTTTCCTTGACAAATTGGAAATCACATAAATAAACAACATTAAAATATTTTGTCTCGCATGCAATATGTATCTAATTATTATCTAAAATTATTTCACACACGAAAGGGGGAAAAGTGACATAAAAGAAACATATCAACATTAAATATAATAATCCGAAATTAAAATTACACTTATATAACAAGACAAGTTATATGGAAGTTACATATACTTTATTGTGTACATTGATATATCTGTAGTATTATTCTAGTACACGGCGCAACTCACCCGCAAGGTCTTTCCGTAAATAGAATATAATTAGGATGCTCTCTGGATACCCTCTCCACAAATTTAACGCAAGTGAAATTTTCCCAGTGTCTCATTGCCTGTTTGAATAATGCTTTATGTGCGCCAGAAAAATTTCCATCGATCTCGTAGGGAATTACGCCATGATCCCATACTCGTTCCTTTCTCGCAGTAGCCGCTCGACGTATTCTGCTTAAAAAGTTTTTTGTGCCACGCTTGTTTGCGAAGTATTTCGGCTTATGGTTTATATCATAGAATTCGATAGAACGGAGACGTCGATCGTGTACAGAAATGATTTCGTCAGACGCATCGGTAATAAAGTCGTGCGTTTGTCGATTGCAATGACGATGAGAACATCTTCCTAAAATTCTAAAAATAACATACTAGCATTTTGTATTAATTTTTCACTACACTCGGTTTGCGCGTTATGCGCGCGCGCACACGCACTATATTTTGTTTTATGATAATTATTTATATTGCACAAAATATAAATATAAAGAATTTTGAGCGCGAATACTCTTTCATATAAATAATATATAGTATCATGTATCTTCATCACATCAACATACATATGTGTATGTTGCAATATCTTATTTAACAAATTTTTGTTATTATTCTTTGACAAGCAAAACGCATCAAGAATATTGATTGGAAATATAAATAAAATAAAGCTGCAATCGAAAGGATGTAAGATTCACACGATAAAGAAATATTATGCGTTTGCCATTGTGCAAAATATGTAATTTTAAAAGTAATATAAAACGCTTTTTTTATCCAAAAACAAGCATTGAGAGAGAGAGATTGAATCTCAAAAAGTAGTAATAAAAGCGGATAGTTAAGTGAAGGCATTGCAAATGGGTAACTTTTTTTTACGAAAGCGAATAGAATCGCCACTATAGCCGGCGAATAAAATGGCCGAATATAATGCTTAGGAACACTAAATTTCTTTATATCATACATGATTGACAAAATTTTTTTTTAATATATTTAAAATAAACATATATGCGATAATAAAAGAAAAAACTAAGTAATTGTTTTAAAATTGCTTCTTGTAACAATATTATTTATATTTTACTACATGTTGTTTCCACATAGACGCGTGAGATATTCTCATCCACACGCACGCACGCATACAAATAAAAGCAAATCACGAGCAGAGTAATAAATTTGTGTATATATGTTGCAGTTTTCGTCTTTTCTTTAAGTATTTTCAAAAAATCTCGACATTTGTCGGTATAATATGTTATACAAGCAATAATCGAGAACACGACGAAAATGGAGTATCCGGCTGTATCCGATACTTGAAAGAATTTCTCTTCGCGTTTCGAGCTAATTATAAATCGCACGCACGCTTTACGATTTTTATTTCACTCGTTTATTAGCGCTAATTATCAAAGATGTAGACGTAATTCACCTCCGTTACTCGAGTCTACTTTTCCAGCCAGCCATCCCTAACTGATAGCACTTAGGAGACAAGGCGTTTCTGAATCAGTAGGGCATTACAATTAATTAACGTGTCTCGCATGTGAGTCGCGTATAGATACCGTACCCGTATAAGCATCGTGAGAAGACGAGAAGTACAATAGAGTGCGTTAATGAATCCGGTTTTGAGATACATTTACCATGCTTCCTCTATATAGTTTGTTGCGTCTACTATCGTTATTCCGAGTGTAACAATCCATTACGTTGCTTTGACGTAGTATACTATAATTGATGTAGACATTCAAAGATTTTTACGATGCGTGCACGCGCATACTCGGAAAAAGAAAAGATACTGATACCACAAATGTTTCATACTTTTATAATGATCAGAAATACAAGGAAAGCATCTCGCCATGATGAAAACTATAGAATAAGGCGTGGCGAATTCGTGCATCAATAATATTGATTAATGCACTGAGAAATATATACTTTTTAATTTGTTACTGTTGTCAAAGTGAAGCATCACAGTGATGCGTTGGCGTTACTTAAATTTGTAATAATTTGCATTAAAATTAATGCAATAGGGGTTTTTCAGTTTAAAAAAATTTATCGTGCCTTGATAGATTTTTAAAATAATTGGGCATTTCTTTTTTTTTTTTTTAAGAACAAATATGAAAGACAAATAACATATTCTGTCTCGTTATTTATCGAATATTATATACCATTTCGCGTTTCGTAGCAAAGCTTTGTTTGTAGTATGCTTTATACACGTTATATATCACATATTGTACTAATCCCCAATGGGGTAAAAATTTGAAAAGGGTCGTGGTACATACGTGTACATTGGAGATTGGGGAACATACCGGACGTAGATTAAACTTTGAATTAGACTTACGAAAGCGCGTATTTACGTCTTATATCTCATACTATAAAACATGATGGCGTGATAATTCTTATCGAAGCTGTAGAACATTCTAGAAAAGTTGTTGGACCCGCGAGTACGTGGAACATAGATTCACGGAAGATTTAAAAAAAGATGAATACATAGCGCGTATAATGAGCTTTTTTCTTTATATTTAATTAATGTAAAAGCAAAGCGAGACGGATTAAGAAAATGTAAACAGTCATTAGGCGAGAGAAGGACGTGACTAAGCAGTCAGTCCCGAGCCCTCGCCGTGGCAAGACGAGTAAATCTATCAATACTAAACATACATTTGAAAGTTAACGGCCTTTCCTGACTCCCATCGACTTTCGTTTTATAATTAAAATATATAATAAAATGAAAACATTTATTGTTTGCATATATCAAAACTTTTGTCAAACTATATTATTATAATCGGCGCATTTTATATTTACACTTACAATTTACTCCCTCCATCCAATTGTTTTCATCAATGTGTGTCGGCAACATAACTCTATTGATGACTTGAAAATCGTAAAAAAATTGGATTTAATGTGCTTATATATGTTCGCGTACATGCGTGTGTGCATACGTGTGCGTGCATTCGTTTGTGTGCTTATGTATGTGTATTTGTGTGTATATGCGTGTATGTGATGTGTAAGCGCGATAAAATATATTTTTAACGTTTAATTAAAGAATCATACTTTCACACATATGACATTGTACGATAATGCGCGAGACGTGTACCTAGTCAAGCATCGCGGTACAAAACATTGCTGCCAATGACAAGTTATTGGCAGTTTGAGAGCTGAAAATGTTCGGACGGTAGTATCGGAACCCATTTTCCAACTTTACGATGACGGCCATTGTTATTGGCATTGCGAAATGGCTCTGCTAGTGGAATTACCGTTAGCGATACTTGGAAGTTGGTGCTCTCGCCAGTAGCCAAATAGGAAAATAGAGCCATGCGAAATCGCGACTCATGAGTTTTCACAATCTAATCATGAATTTAATCGATGAGCTTAAAATAATTTACGTGCGGATCATTAATGTATATTGTAAATATTAATATTAATATATGCAAATATATTCTAATATACAATTGCGTACTAAACTGAGTAAAAAATGTTGGTAATTATGCATTAGGGCCGACCTCACAAATTTCAATGGCCTTGATATATATTATCAGTATAAGTACATACACACAATATATATATGGTGCGTGCATGCGTGTGCGTGTGCGTGTGCGTGTGCGTGTGCGTGTGCGTGTGCGTGCGCGTGTGTGTGTGTGTGTGTGTGTGTGTGTGTGTGTGTGTGTGTGTGTGTGTGTGTGTGTGTGTGTGTGTGTGTGTGTGTGTGTGTGTGTGTGTGTGTGTGTGTGTGTGTGTGTGTGTGTGTGTGTGTGTGTGTGTGTGTGTGTGTGTGTGTGTGTGTGTGTGTGTGTGTGTGTGTGTGTGTGTGTGTGTGTGTGTGTGTGTGTGTGTGTGTGTGTGTGTGTGTGTGTGTGTGTGTGTGTGTGTGTGTGTGTGTGTGTGTGTGTGTGTGTGTGTGTGTGTGTGTTGTGTGTGTTGTGTGTGTGTGTATGTGTACTTCTTAGTATTAATGTCAGAAAATTTATACATTCTATTCATTAAACTTATTTTGTTAAACTTTTTAATAAACAACGAACGACGGCTAAAACCTTTTGAAAGTTACTCAGGGCCGTGTCCTTGATAATGTACTCGTATATCAAGGCCATTGAAATTTGTCGGCCGTAATATGAATAATTACCAAAATGTTTAGTACAAAATTAGCTCAAAGAGAA